GATGATCAATATGTAATGTAACCTACTTTGCATATAAGCAAAAATCGACTTTTTCTTATTTAAGCATTATAAAAAAATTTTTGCCGATCAGCCAATCAAATGAATTTTTAATCATGCTAGTATCAGCAGTATTCATAAAAAAATAAAGTACTTTCAAAATTTTTGGAATGGAGCTGTCTTGGAAATCACCAAGAAAAAAAAAATAAATCATATTTTTTTTTTCTGCTTTGTAACCATACCAAGATTATGTCCAATATGTATACATTAAACGATATAAAAGATAGAGGAGATTCTAAAAGGGATGGGTATCGGCTGGGTAGTATCTGCGAATCAGAACTTAAGAATACATTGCATAGTAGTATCAAATCTGCTTTTGATCTTGCTAATGAATATAAAGACCTGCAAGGTGTATATTTAAAGCAAAATAAGAATCTTGAGCAAGTTCAAGCTAATACTAGAAAAAAGATTAGCCAGCTAAATGCGTCCAATACTAGGCTTAGATCTTCTGAACGGGCATCCCATACTGAAATCTAATTGCTTAAATCTGAGATTAAAACACTAAAGAGAAAAGCAACTCTTGCCCAAAAAAGCTTCGTTCACCTACAAGGATGAGATTCTTTATCTTAAAGGTAAAATAGATAAACTGAAAGCCGAAGTAGAAGAATTGGAATTGGAGATGGAATTAGAATGCACATCTCATGATTTAGATACTACTTCATTTAGAAATAAAATAAGTGAATTACATTCTCTTAATCATACATTAGAGCAGGAAAGGGATGATTTAAATTCAAAGAAACATGAATTAGAAGCCGAGGTAGGGCATAAGGATTCTGAAATCACCTCTCTTGGAGCTAAAGTAAACGAGCTAGAGAAAGTAGAAAGAGGTCTAATATGTAGATATGGGTTAATTAGCTGTCTCAGGTCTAGAGTAAGGGAATTAGAAGATCAATTAGAACAACAAATATCCCAGTCATCTCACAAATCAAACATAATAGATAGAGCTGAAGCAGATCCAGACTCAGCTGAGAACTCTTTGGAAAAAGAGTTCCTTCTTCAAGAAACCAATACTCATTTAGCAAAGCAGATTTCGAAAGCATCCAGTGAGTTTAATGAAGTAATTGGAGGCGATAGCAGACCAGAGAAAGAGAACGAAATTACTAGCTCTAAAATAACCTCAGTATCATTCAATTCCTTCTTTCAGCAGAATGTGATCTTCATTCTAATAATATTACTAATCATATACTTCCTATGGCACATATCCTCTTATATATATTCTTTTATTTCTCTCTTCAATAAAGAAAAAAATATTTTGAATTATAAAATACCTTTAAATAGAAATCAGAATTACAAATTTTTAATCCACCATGCAAAAGAATTCAAAGACAAAAATACCTCCTATAAAACTTCATCTTTTGGATATGGATGAAGTCACAAAGCATGAATCATCCTGAAATATTGGTCATCCATCGATGACATGGCCTTTTAGCATGTTAGTTACTGGGAGAAGTAGTATAAATAAGACTAATTTACTTGCTAATCTTGTTCTTGGTGATAAGGATGAATATGTGCAAAGAGGGAAAAAAGGTGGGTCTTGCTACATTAAATGTGATGATCTAATTGTTTGTAGGTATCATCCTGATGAGCCAAAATAGGCATATGTAAGATACATATATAATCTGATTTCAAAAGACCCAAGTGCACCTTACTATAAAGATATTAGTTTTAGTTACATTCCTCCTGAAAAAATTCCTAGTACAAGAACTTTCTTATCTGAAAGAAGCAAATTAATTATTATTGAGAATCTATGTTTAGCTCCAGAGTATATACAAAATCGAATTAGTTAGTTTTTTGGGAATGAACATTACCAAAATATTTCATGTATATATGTAATGCAAAAATATCATAAAGTTGATACATTCATTCGTAAAAATTCAACTCATTTAGTATTATTTAACTCTGGTAGCAGTATTCAAGACGTGTCTAAGATTGTTGGATGATATACTGATGATGTAAAGAGCGCATCTATGGTTATTAATAGCTATCTCTGAAAAAATGAGTTTGTTGTATTTGATCTCACCAGGCCGGAGGATGATCCCCTTGCAATTCAGCTAAGGTTTGACATACCATTAAATCTGCAGAAGGAGATAGAAGCTAGGCAGAAGCGTAAGGAAAAAAGTGTTTCAACTAATGAATAGAATTGGTCAAATTGTGGATTGAGCCAAGATGATTTGTTTGTTCACAAACTTCCAAAGCGCTTAATTATATTTCTAACTATAGATGAGAAAATCATAAGTAAATATACACTTCATAGATTTTTATTTCACATTGTCATTTTTTTATCTGTATCAGAAGTAGATAAAAATATTAATATAAAAAATATATCGTGATATCAAGAATAGCATTAAGGAAATGGTGAACAACTATAAAAAAGAAATTATTATAATAAATATGTAACAGCCTGCTTCAGTAGAGAATTCATAGTCCAGAAAATTCAGTGCATATACTTACAATTATTGTTCGAATCTGAAAAATCTATGTTAATTTCTTCTCCTAGAATATAAAGATATTTAGTTTTGAAATAGTTAATTTTTAGTAAATCATATGGATATGATTTGCTATGCATTTTATACATATATTACGCATACTCTAAACTTCTAATAATTCTTTCATTACCAGATTCATTAATATGATAATATTCAGGATTTGATAGCTACTTTAACATATAAGTCTATCCTGAATATTCAATGATTCTATAGTCTTGCTAATATAATATAATGAAAACAAATATATATGATACAAGGCCTAATCGTTCCCATAACTGTTCTTTCTTCTTTTCTAACCACCTATATGGAGTATAACAATAAAATAAAATAGGAGATTTCTGATAATGTGTAGGCACATCTTTAGCTTGAATTTTTTGACCAAAATAATCTACATATTGATCATCAGAAATTCTTATATCATGAGAAGTTATACCTAAAAACTTCTTCTTGTCGGGAGTGCCATCATTTCTTACCATATTCCAAACTCGTTTCGCTCATGTTTCAGGTCTCAACTTGAAAGCTCTCCAAGCCCGTTGGATAACTTTTGCATTATTAATTAAACGATTTACAATCCCTTCTCTACCCTCATATAAATAATCATAACTATAATGAGCCAAACCAATATGTTTGATAAATTTTTTCAATCTCATCAGGACTGAGCAATGATACACTTCTTTGGTTTGGCACTCCTCCATTTTTCACATTTTTCTATACAGGTTTAGAATATGCGAGAGGTTTTTCGGTAATGCATTTCTTCAGGTGATTACTTGCATATTCGATAGTATTTTTGTAGATAAATACCAAAGTGTTGTATACAGTACAATAAATATAAAATGAACGCTTTTTAACCATAAATCCCCTATCTCTAGACCTTTCAGTCATATGGATAAATCCATTCTTGGAGAAGTATTTTAGGTTATTTTCAAAAAGTAGTCTAAATGGATAATGAATATGAGAACACTACATTTCAGGTATTTCATTACTTACATATATTGCAAATTGATTAATACCTGTGATATGGTAGGATTCAAACCATTATAGTAGTTAGTTTTAACCATTTTGCAGGTGATAATATATGTAGCAATTTCACTGATTTTATCAAATTATAGCAATTTCAATGACTTATACATAGCAGTTTATAACGAGTATATAATAATAAAATATCAGATTCATTTTTATTCAAGAAAGAGGGAAACATATACTTCATAGATTTTTATTTCACATCGATATTTTTCTACCTGTTTTGGAAGTAGATAAAAAATTAATATAAAATATGTTTACGTACGTATAAACAAATTGTTCACACTGATTACTCAATTGTGATCTCAAGAATAGCATTAGAAAAATGGTGAACAACTAGTCATTTTCATTTTTTTACTGACCGAGTTAGGAAGATTCGAAGCTTCTCATCGTAAAACTGGATTAAAATATAAATAGTATATATATTTATGTAAATTTCGAGGTGGATACATTCAAACTACTTCTCTTCTCGTAGTTCAGTGGATGAAACCGTGGGAAGCTCATCCAGTCTTCCTTTCCTTACTACATGGACAATTATAATCTGACGATCACTTCCTCTATAATAGAGTTTTTATAAGCAAAGAAAAAATAAATGAAATATATGATATGCTTTCAAGGGAGGGAGTACGCAGATCCTAAACTATTTAATGCGAGTCTCTGTGCCATATTATTTCTCTAAAACATAGTCAGAGGCTCTATCGCTTCAGTAGTAGAAATGAAATTTTTTGCATAACTGAAGAAGACTATATTATTAGAAGACAGCTAGATTGTATATTTTTTGCAGAACAAACGAACTACTATCACCAAAGCACTGAGCCATCTGCTCTGTTAAAGCAAGAAGATTGTATACATATTCGATCACACAACTTGCCGAAGCAAACTCATGTCAAGTAGCTATAGAAGTTGTCTTATCAACACAAAAACAATTCAACGAGAAAAAGAGATGCAATGTTCGGGGAGATAAGAGCAATAAAATTTATAGCTAAAAAATATGGAGAAAGAGATTTATATAAGTGAGGAACTACGCCCCATGCACGTAATAATCAATCCCTATGTAGTTTGTTATATTCGGTTTTTGAGCTGTGTATTATTGCCTAGAAAAGGATAATCAGATTATTAATTATATAGTAGTTCGTTAACATTCTGCATTTTTGAGAAGCAGGTTTACCTGACAATAAACTATAAATATTCGTATAATATACGACCAAATCATGTCTCGGCAATAATTTTTCTGTGATGATCGATTGTACTTATACATCACATGAGCATAGTAGTAGCGATTGATTTTGGTGGAATATTGATATATTACTTAGGAATAATATAATAATATATTAAGTAATACAATCAGAAGTATAAATAGAGAATAGTAATAAGGAAATAAGTGTATGAAACATAACTACTATAAATCTAAGAGCAGATCTTCTGCCTTTAACTCTCATTGGACATGTGCTAAATCTAGAGAGAACGTCGATTATTAATAACTATGTTTTTTGTTTATATATATTGTAGCATCACAAAATCATTCCTATATATTCTCGTCTCCGATCAGATATGGTAGAAAGGACCTATATTTGGTTTGTTTTTAGTTTGGGAAGACGGGTCTGACAGTTCAAAGCCTGAGCATTATTGAGATCTTGCTCAGAAGCCATTGGACTATTAGCACCTTTCTTAATTCCAGCCTTAATATAAACTTTGGTAAAATCTCACAAATGATAAAAAAATATATCATGTACGAAATAAACGACACTGTGCCAGATCCCCTAGTGAGTAAAAAATTGCCATGGAGTAATAAATGTGAAGCAAATGCTACGACTTGTCTTGGCCTAAGATGTACGACCATCTGAAGCTGGGAGAAACATAACTCTCCTCCTTCGTAATCTCTCAGTACAACTAAGATACATAAACTATTTGTCTTATCATGCTCATCCCAATGATAGTCACTAGTAGTATTAAAATTGATAGCTATCATTGAGTAGGGCTTCAGCGCAAATGGACCCCATGACAGCCCACTCAATTTCGTATATAAATCTCCATAATAGTTTTGAAGGAACCGGTTAATACAGTCTGATAATGCCTTGAGACCTCGAAGTAATTTGTTAACACATTCATGGCGATCAATATTATGCATATTTGCGGTATTGGAGCTTGTAAAAGGGAGCAAGTTGTTTCTGGTATAAGCCCCAAAATGTTTAATAAAATTGGTCCAAAATTCGTCACTTTGATGCGAAGGATGCTCCAGCATATGGAAATAATAATTATTTATAGCATTGGTTGCAAGTATAACGGCATTGTAGTCATTGAGTTGCTCTAAGTGAACTAATGTTCGATTACTTAGATCCGTAATGCACTCTGGTTCTGTTATATGTTTGAATTGGACCAATTTACTTATCGATTGGGGATTATAACATGCCAATATGATTAGATGTGTCTTTTTTCTTCGAGTATTATGTGTGATAGCTGTGTCAAAAAAATCTTGAAAATCTCTATAACTTTGGATATCATGAGTGTACTGGAGTTTTTTCTACAACAACCTGAGGTGTTGTCATACGTGCTTTCTTTTTAATGGACCATCCTCACTCTTTAAACCTAACCACTGGCCGAAAGCAAACCACAATCACTTATTAGCAGTATTAGGCAATGATTCCTTAATCCCGACACCAGTCTCTCTAATAATATCAGTATAGATCAAAGAGAGAAAATTTGACAGAATCTCGGACAACCCAAGAGAGTTATTGTCAAAGGATTTCACTTCACTAATTAGAATTTCAATTAGCAATTCTCTGGCTGATATGTTATACCAAGTCTTATTTTTTTTGGACAATACCTGATCTGAAAAACAGAGAGAAATACTTGTCCACTCCTTCTCTAAATAATAAATACTATCATTAGTAGATATTTTTCGAGTAGCGGATTGGGTTCGATGCCGAGATGGATCGAAGATGATATCATCAGTTACCAAAGGGATGTTAATGTCTGGTATCTCGGTTTGTTTTTAACTACGCCTAAGCTTTTTGTTTTTGCGTGTATAGGCTTGTTTTGACAATTTGTTCTCCTCTTTTCGCTTATTAATTGATACTTGCATTATGACTCTCAAATAAAAGAAAATAAAAGAAAATATGTTATTAGTATAAATTTGATTTAATGGATTCTTGCAGTTGAGAAACTAAAATTCAGCAATCGGCACTTGCACTAAAAAATGGAGAACTTATATCTTTTTTCTGTATATGATTTATAATTTGTGAATTACTATACTTAGTACTGTAATTCGGCACAATCACAAATAATTAATTGCATATCGCTATATTAGTACAAAATTTTTATAATTAATTAATACCGTCCAGTTCTACAAATTTAGATAAGCAAGAGCTATGAATAAACATATACTCATATAGACAAATTTAGGTTGTGGAACCAGTGGATTCAAGAAAAACCTGTAAACATATATGTGCATTATTTATATAATCCAAATATTGTCAGCATGTTTAAATTTAGAAATTTAAAATAACGATAGTGGTAAAAAATCTTAATTTATCCTATTCTGAACAGTACTTCAATAGCACTTCGATGGTGGCTTAGAAAATTTTATATTCGTTTATTATAAAAAAGCTAACAGCACTTCAACAGTGGCTTAACTGCAGTTATCTAGAATTTAATACGTATTCGTAAACACACATGTGCACTATTTTAGCATAACCACGTCGCTAGAAAAATAAAGTATTTATTATGTAATGCAACTTAACGGTCTTACGAGTCCGCTAAAATACTGATCATATTCAAGTTTATTAGTTCATAAAAACTCAACTGGCTTTAATAACTGATGGTCTGCATTAAATTTTATGTGGTGTCACTCTCCTGCATAATTAATTCTCATAGTCAATTTTTTATTAAGTTACTGTAATAAGTAGCGCTAATAATGAATAGCGACTATAACCTTTCTTACCTTATATATGATCCTGTAATAAGAATAGAACTTAAAAAGGCTATAAGGACATTAAGTATAACGTTCTTAATCAGTAGTTTTATCAAAATTCATATGTTATAGGGACTTCGAATCTTTGCCATCTCCGAGATCGTCAGATCTAAACCCACTTTAAACGATCGTCGATTATAAGGAGTTAATTTCACCAGAAAAAATAATAGAATAGATTCAGTATTTGAAAGTTATAACCGAGTGGAGTTGCTTTATGAAGGAAAAAAAAATGGCGTTAGACTTGGGTAACGTAATTACCAATCATATAACTTTTTTTTTCTAGCAAAGTTTTTTAGATTTAGCAAATGAATGGTATAAAAATAAGCAAGTTCCCCGGCTATAAGATAAGTTAGCAATAACGTTATTTTTTGCTCGTATATATTTTTTGAAAAAAAGTTTAACATAAGTTACCGGCAATTTAGTTCTAAGGTAATGTTTTTTTTACTGTTTTAGCAAAGCTGGTCAGAAAACACTATTACAAGTTCATATATTAATAGCCTTGTTTTTATTAACAGTCGTGATGTCCGCAAATATTTTCTCATATAAGTCGAGAAAGACAGGAGTCTTTGATACTGATCGTGATAACATTTGAGTAAAGGTCGAAGAGTTAAACAAAGATGTCACAAGAGTTATTCTTGTAGATGAAAATGAAAGTCCAAT